ATTATTATATTATATTATATTGTATTACAATATATTATTATATTATATTATATTGTATTACAATATATTATTATATTATATAATATTATATTACTATATATAATATAATATAATATATAATATATTATTATATTATATTATATTACATTATATTATTATATTATATAATATTATATTACATTATATTATATTATATTATAATATATATATATATATTCAAGTTCCTTCTTGCCTCATTTAATACATCTACACAGACACCATTGCACGAAGCACAATAAATAATTTGAAATTTAAATACTTAAACATTTAATATTATATTATGTAAAAATGTCATTCATCCTATCAATTGATTTTCATTCATTTCTGATTTATTTGACTCGTGATTATTTGTTATCCAGTATAATTGTTTCGATTCATTGCAACTGATTTATATTTCAAGACATTATTATTGTAATCACATAATTAATTTTATTATTGTAATAATTATACACGTATATATACATACGTGTGTACGTGTATTTTTTAGAAACTCCTTCATCTTGCTTCTCAGCAATTGGAATCTATAATTGACGTAACAGTTGCACCAGTGGATCTCCGCTTGGAAATTATTTGAAATGACTTCCTCGAGTAGAAATTACCCTGACTTCGAAATTATCTGCCGTAGATTTTTTTCCTTCTTACAAATTCCACGATTCCTCTCTCGCAGCTCACGAGGAGACATTACATCTGATCCTCGGGATGAAAATGATGGACGTTTCAAATTAGGCGGGATTTCAATATGTAATGAATTCTACGTTCTAGATTCGCTGGTGGGGGAGGGAAGAGAGCGTAGAACTGAATTCATTTCAATTTTCCCCCGTCGGTGAAAAATAACGTTGGTCCCACTCCTCTCGATTCCTCTTTCGGCGATTCGACTCGATCTCTTGCTTGTCGAACCATCGTCGAAACTTTCGCAAGTCGTTTTAATATCCGTTCAGACGCACCCGTCGAATTTATTTTTAAGGGGCATTTGCATCGAAATTAGTTTCAACTTCATTCTGCTCCACTTTCGACCGCGCTCGAAGATATTGGATGACGGGGCTCGAAAGGTGTCTGCGGAGATCATTGGATGATCTTACGATCATTTTGCTACCTTGACTCTTTGTGACGATACGATACTTGCGCGAAAATTTGTGCAAAACAGCGAGGAATCAGCGATCAGAGATTCTGTTTAAATTTCGTTCTTATTATTTGTTAATCAGTCATTAGTCAAAGATCAAAGTTTTTATTAAATTGGGATTTAAGTTAAGACTCAAGATAGCTTATTAATTATTACAAGTGCTTGAAAATATTTTTGCACATGTATTGCACATTTTATTGTAACAAGACACTTGTATCATATGGAATGAAATTGAATCAGCGAATAATACTTTAATAAAAAATAATTTTTTGGAATGATATATCTTTTTATATTTTTTGCTATTTTATTTTTTATTGTTTTAAATTTTTCATATCTTTATGTTTTCATCAATTAAGAGCTATAGAGAATGATTTATACGAAATACAGATTGTTATATTAGTTATTTAGATATTATAACTAGTTTAGTTATGTTCTTCATCGTAAATGATCAGTTATGAGACTTTGTGTATAAACTTTAATAATAATAAAAGTTTGAATTCAAGATTTAGTTATAATTAGTATATTATATATATTAATAGTATATATAATATACTATTATAGTTATTATAGTATATTATATTAGTTAGTATATTATAGTTATTATAGTATATTATATTATAATATATTATAGGTGGTATAGTATATTATTATTAGGTAATATATATTAGGTATATTAGTAGTATATTAGATACATATTCTAAGTATAGTATATTAGATATATATTGTGTATATCTTGGACAATATCTAAATATATTTGACATATATTATCTATATATCTATTATTTATTATCTATCTAAATATATTTCACGTGTGATAATATACCTATATTATATTTGATATATTTAATATATGACAATATATATGACATATCGCTCAAAAAAAAAAAAAATAGAATCCAACAACAACAAAATTGAAATTTTTCAAATCTCCACTCTCAAATTGAAATTTCTCAACTCTCCACAGAGCCCAGCTGAACTCCAACATAGAGATCTCTCTCTCATGAAAGTCTGAAAAGAGCGAACGCTCTGAAGATCTCTCCCCCTTCCCACCCTCTCCCGTCGAAAAAAGAAACGGAGAAAGAAGAATTTGTTTCAAGCAACAAAATGTGAATGTACCATAGTCGACTCACCTGATACCGCCTCTCGTTGTATCATAGTTGAGAACTCTGTTGCCGTGAAGCCACTGGACGACACTGTACTGAACTTGCATGGCTATGTGACGCACCACGCATAATAGCTCGATGGTGCTGTCAGCCTCGTAGTACTTGTCTCTCAGCGGTTCACCCAGGGCGTCCACTATTTGGACGGACGGTGCTGAAATTTCATTACGCGGCGTTACAGCATACAGTGTGAACGACGGCCGGCAAAGGTACACTTTGGTGTCTTGGTTATGCTCTCTAACGTACGTATCTCCTTCCTAATCGTGCGTTCTTTGTCACCACGGATTTCTATGCATCTCGATAGTTTTATGAAATGTAAATTGATCGAAACTGATGAATTGATTAGAAAGATGTTAATCGTGTTTTAGAAAAGAAATTTGTTGATATTTATACTTCGACATTCTATGAGATATTCTATCTACATACTAACATTGACACTCTTGTGAAATATTATTGATTGAAATTGATGGTTTGATTAAAAAGATTTTAATCGTGTTTTAAAGAAGAAATTCGAAGAAATTCGTCTCGTCTATCAAATATTATGATAAGTTCTCTAGTTTGGGGCGTTTTCTAGGCATCTTTGCAATTTTAAATTTCTCGCAAATACATAAACATTCGCCATTCGGTCGTGACTGCAAAATTTGCAGCTTCTTCAAAGGAAATTATCGGTCTCATTCCATTCTAATTGATTGATAATGATTTGACCTTGGTTACTGGTAAATTCTCGTAAATTTGTAATGATTACTGTTGGTTAGAAAAGCTTTCAATTGTTCGCTGATGGTTACTCGTGACCAAAACATTTTGATTTCACGGTGTAATTTTTAAAATTTGCAATGATGTATAGTAGTGTGCTATGATAATATAATGACAGTTTAATCTATAATAATTTCAGAATAAATGAGAGAATTTCACATGTATATTTCAAAGTATATATCTAATAAGCAGATATTGTAAGTAGATAATTTATTACAAGTTGAGCACTCGAATAATAATTCAATATTAGTATAATATAGTATTTAATATAGTAATATAGTATATTGTATATATAGTATTTAATATAATAATATAGTATATTTTATATATAGTATTTAATATAATAATATAGTATATTTTATATATAGTATTTAATATAATAATATAGTATACGTTGTATATATGGTATTTAATATAATAATATAGTATACTTTGTATATATGGTATTTAATATAATAATATAGTATACTTTGTATATATGGTATTTAATATAATAATATAGTATACTTTGTATATATGGTATTTAATATAATAATATAGTATACTTTGTATATATGGTATTTAATATAATAATATAGTATACTTTGTATATATGGTATTTAATATAATACAATATATTTTACATATAGTATTTGATATAATAATACAGTATATTTTATAGTATTTTTATATAGTATTTAATATAATACAGTATATTTTATATATAGTATTTTATATAATAATATAGTAAATGTTATATATTGTAATTTAATAAGGTAATATAGTATATTTTAATACAGTATAATATAGTACATTTTAATATAGTATAATATAGTATTTATAGTAGTGATTAGCATAGTATAGTATAGTACAGTTACATTACCTATTACTATATTAGTATAATATAGTACACTATTAGCATATTAGTATAATATAGTATACTATTACTATATTAGTATAATATAGTATACTATTACTACATCAGTATAATATGGTATACTATTACTATATTAGTATAATATAGTATACTATTACTATATTAGTATAATATAGTATACTATTACTATATTAGTATAATATAGTAATAGTATACAGAGTATAATTAGTGTACTATTACTATATTACTAATATATACTATTATTATTAATATATACTATTACTATATTATTAATATATAGTATAATTAGTATACTATTACAGTATTAGTATAATATAGTAATAGTATACTATATTAGTATAATATAACATATATTATTATTAATTATTGATAATTTAATACAGCAATTGATGAATAATACAATAATAATATGTATTGTACAAAAATAAAGTAGCACGATATAAAAATATATATATATATATCACACATTATATAATATAATATAACATACAAGTTAGCAAAAATAAAAAGTTCGCAAAAGTTTGTAATTTATTATCTCGTTGTTACGAGAAGCTTTTCTTTAATTTTTCTACTTTTTTCACTTTAAATGTCTCCGAAGTGCAAAATGCCTTCGTCGTATTTTTAGTTCCTCAGTGTTAAACAGCAACCGCGAAATATCCAAGGAAATTCAGATTCCATCATACCATTATTATTCACGGCGCCATGGCGATTTATCGCTCTCGAACGACAACATTTCACATGCCCCCCCCCTGCCCCCCCCCCCCTCTTCCGTGAATAATTCGGAATCTTGCTCCACTAAATTTCCATCGAAGGATTATATATATTTCGTGGCACGGGCTCGGTGACCTGTCTATAAACGCGTAATACCGGTTGTCGACGAAATCGCTCCGTAGTACCGTGATTCATCGCGTTATTCGCATTATTAAACGCTGCGATTTGTATTCGTCTTGCAGCGTGCAATTTGTACGCTCGCGGAGGGCGAGGGGGGTGGGGAGGGAATCTTTGGAGGAACGCAAGCACTTCTCCGCCCACGCGTCGTGATTTCGTTTCGCGTTTCCACGTTTCCAACCTCTGGATCCGGACCACGCGAATGCAACGATAAACTTGGAAATTGGAAATGGTCCAGAAGACACCGGATAAAAGATCACATCTGAATCGTGCCACGATCGTTAGATGCACTTTCGCGTGAACGGCCATCGTCTATCGCCGATATTTTATTGGCCTCGGTGAAATATGCATTTAGGAATCACAAGGGCTAAAGTGGTCTCGTTTGTTCTCGGCCCGTTTCGGTCGACTTGAATTAAGCGAAATTCGTCAGTTCCCTGCATGGGGAATAGTTGAGCTCTCTGTGAGATTTTTTATACTGAAATAGGTTCACGAAAATTGCAAAGATTGTTGTGGAAATTATTTCTGTGGATTATAGTTGTTTATATTAAAAAATACTGTATTAGTAATATATAATAGTTAGTAATATATTATAGTAATGTATCAAGTAATATATTATAGTTGTTTATATTAAAATACTGTATTAGCATTATATATAATAGTATACTAGTTATATAGTAGTTATAATATATATTATTATATACAATATAAAATATATTATTAATAATATTATATTATAATAATATTATTAATTAATATAATATATAATAATGTTATATATATGTATATATATTACATTATATATATAGTAGTAGTACTATAGTACTGTGTACAATAGTAGTATTTATATATAATATTATATTATATTAATGTATTAATTATGATTAATATTATATCATATTTGTTGCATTATACTATATATTGTTGAATAATATATTGTACTATAATACATATACGATATATTAGAGTATATATTACTATATATAATATATAGCTAAACTGCTATATTAGTATAGCAGGATATTTAATAATAGTAATACAATACCAAATATACATAAACTGTTGAGCATTATATTATATTATATTATATACAATACTAGTATACTATTCATGTAATACTAGTAATATTTTATTATTACACTATGTATAATGAATAGTAGTATTAAATAGGTTTAAATAATATATTCTAATATAATCTAAATTACAGTAGTATGCTATATAATAATAGTAATATAATATTATATTATTACTATACATAGCATACTATAATTGTGTAATTATATACAATATATATTTTATATTGTAATATTCATACATATTCACTCATGGTATATTTTATATTGCAACATTCACTATTATATTACTAAAATATATAAACCACAAATATTAATGTCGAGGCAATTTGTTTGTATTAATAATTTGTAGTAATTTATAATTATGATACTAGACAATGTTAAAATAATGTTGTATATAATTGTAAAATGTTGCATACAATGTACAACGTCTGATACTAGACAGAATGCAAAAAATGCCAAGTAGTTTTTATTAATTTAACCGGCCAGCTTAGAAATCTGTAGCTTAGAAATTGGAACTGCTGGTTTGTAAAACGATAATATTGTTGCGACAACATTTATATAGAGCTGGTTTCCGTATTTATATTTCTATATCACAGAGATAATAAATATAGATGATGCATCATCGACATACGTGTATCTAACGACCATTGTTCGATTTAGAATCTCTTTCTTCACTCGTTGGACTGTTTCCAGATTCAGAAGTACTGGTGCCTTGGAAAAATGCATGTGCACCGGTAGTAAGGAACCACGAGGAAGAGAAATGTTTCGAGTGTACAGGACGGTTCAAGAATGGAATTTAAAATGCCATCTTTTTACCCAAATTTGTGAAATGTATGTTTTTCTAAAATATTCTCGTAAAAGTGAATCAATTGTTGAGTAATTTATAATTTAATAATATCCTAATATATTAATATAGTAATATAATATAATATATTAATATAATAGTTTCCAAATATACTAATATAGTAATATAATATAATATATTAATATAATAGTTTCCAAATATACTAATATAGTAATATAATATAATATATTAATATAATAGTTTCCAAATATACTAATATAGTAATATAATATAATATATTAATATAATAGTTTCCAAATATACTAATATAGTAATATAATATAATATATTAATATTACAATATCCAAATATACTAATATAGTAATAAGTAATTTATAATTAAACTAGCAATTAATATAATTTATTAAGCAATTAAACAAAATACAGGATGAGTCTAATTTTTTACTATCTTAAATTACTAACCATTAACAATTAAATTATTCACATATCATTTATTATATAAATTTCAAGTAAAACTTATATGGTATTAAGGTACTAATAAGCTTCTCTTTTCAAAGTACTAAAACGATGTTAGTATAGATAAATAATATTTACGTATTGATACTAGAAGATCCAAACTTTCGACTGGCAATATTTATACTACAATATTGGTATTAATTATACTATTATAGATTCAGATATGTAATTCTACAATAATTAGTTTACAATGCAATTGTAAAATTTTATAAAATTGTTATGTAAAGTTTCATAAACTAAAA